GAAGCCATCTCTCGTTGCCCACAAAGCTCACCCCAAGGCACACAACCCTGCCCACCTGAGGCACCAGCATCCATCCCACAGGCTGGATTTTCCTGGAGGATGTCAGGAAAGATGTTTGCTGCAGGGTGACGGACAGCGAGGTACAACCAGCAGCTCCAGAGGATGGAGGGCTGCTATGGGAACTTCAGAAGTTGGAAATCTCGCTCCCTTCCACAATTTTCAGCGTGTCACGGATACGTATCAGCATAAACAGGTGTTGTTAGTTCTTAAAATCAAAAATCATAAACACAATCAGCCTGAAAACAGTCGTTAGGTTTGCCCAGCCTCAGCCAGCGCTGCTTCTGCAGCACCTGAGCCACGTCACCCGGCGCAGGAGGGATGCACACATATGGCAGTGATCCCCCTGCCAGCCCATGTGGCACCATCACACTGCTCCCAGCTCCTTCTGGGAAGGAAGAAGGATCCCTGGAAGCATGCGAGTCGGCTCCTGTGTGAGCAAAGGAACCCTGGGCTGAAATGGGACGACTGGAACTGCCAGCACAGAGCTCCCAGCACTGCCAGCAAAAGCCAAGGGATCTGCTGGGCATCCGATCCATTGCTAACCTCAGCTCCACAGCTTCGGGAGCAATCACCTGCTGACAACTGTGAAAGATTTGTCACCCTGAACCATACTGAAATTGTGAGAGTAAGTCACCAAACAAGAAGCTACAGCATAAAGTTACTGCGAATAGTCACGGCTCCGTGACCTTGTGAATCCTTCCTGGAGGACTCGCTGCTTTGCTTCATCTCCCCGGGACTCACAGGCTGCCCATCAGCTGGTTTTGTGTTACCCACCTCCATCGTGGACACTGCTTCACGTTACACCTTCCTAATTCAGCAGCTTGGTGAATTACAGGAATTAACCAGAACACATTTAGCTGTAACCCTGTATTCTGCATAGCAGACTTGGACTGCTTGGCCTTTAAGCACAAACAATGTGTTTTCCCAGAGCCGTAAATAGGGACTGGGCAGCCATGCTGACGATTTAAATGCTGTATCACCAGGGATGGCAGACAGCAAGTCTGATACTCCTCTCCAAACACTGATGTTAAGAAGAACCAACAGAGGAGAATCATCTGTGCAGATGTGAAAAAAATGCTATAGAAGCACACAGAATGAATCTTAATGTCTACACTGCCTTCCCCTTCCAGCTCCCAAGGAAGCCAGGGTACTCCAAATGCAATAAAAATGTTCTTCACCACATTTCAGCTCTATGCCAAAACACTAACTCATGCTCTTGCAGCAATTTTCTGCTATTTTAGATCCAACTTTATATTGCTAGCTGTGCACAAGTTCAAGATCCCGTCTCACTGCAGCATAACAACCTATTACAGCACTTTGTTTATAAACAGGACTGAACAGAGCCAATCTCTCATAGTCTCCCTTTACACATAATTAAGTCCTCTATAATTTAGCCACAGCCACACAAGTGATGCACAGCTACACCTCTGTTACCTGGGATGTGGGCCAGGTGGCTCTGCTCCCCCATCACACCACATCTGTGTTAGAAGTAAACATTCAAGAGCAGAAACACTGCATCCTCACAGCCCCACAGGGACCCTGGGCTGGCAGCAATGAGGAGCACGGTGAGCAGCATCACATCACAATGTCCAGGTTGAAAGATCTCCCCTTCTTATCAGCTGGCAAGAAATTCACCTATTTTGTTCCCTTTTACGAGTCAATTTTCCCTCGGATCTCAGCAAAACAGAGCAGGCTGTGAAGACATACCTTACCATATTAGGCAATCTGAGTCCTGAAGGCAGAGGACTCGGATCCTTTCTTAGCTTAAAAAGACAACAGCCCGCAGGGTGCTGTGCTTTGTGCTGCCAGACTGGGAAAAGGAAGCAAGAGAGGCTGGGGTCCATGGAGGAAGGTAGGACTTGAGGGCTCTGGCAGATGCAGTCTGGCTGTAACAGGCAAGGAGCAACAGCAGCTGAAACTGCTTCTGACCTTTGGGTCGTTTAACTATTTTAAAAGAAGGATTTGATAAACAGCACAGATAGAAAAGCTGAACTGGAAGTCTTTGTGGGAAATAAAATGCCACGAAGAGCAAAACTGTAGGAGAGAAATCCCCGTGACATCCCCAAATAAGGGCTCCCGAGCTTCATTGTGGAACAGCTCCAACATCAGGACGCTCAGTTTGCATAACCAACTCTGCAGTTCATTGCTCTTCCCTTGGAACTCACAGCAACAAGCTCAGAAATGCAGCCCTTCTACAGGAGCTGTTGTTTCTATCAGCCCTCACCTGAGCCTGCTGATTTCAGGTCAGTCACTCCATTAGGCAGAGAAGGAATTAGTCACAAAGCAGAGTGGGCTTGGGCAGTGTTGGAACGTAGAACAGTCACGTTTCATAATGAAAGCTCAAAGAGCTGAGAATGGGGCTCATTTAGCACCTTACTGTGGCCATAAGGACAACTGCTGCTCCAGTGCCATCCCTGCATCAAAGCTGACGCCATTTACGTGTCTGAGTTTTATGCTGTGCCATACAGACCGTCCTAAGGGAAGTCCATGGAAACAGATGTTTCCCTTGGCACTTTTAGTGCCTGGAATGCTGGGATGTCACCAACACGACACTCGGCTGGATTTAAAGCTTTCCCCTGAGAAACCGCGTCCCACATGGGTGAGACTCACTTGCAATGCCTCTAAAGAGAACTACAAGTAGATAAATGCTCTGAACTATTGCAAACATCGTCCTCCTTCTGTTACATCCAGTGCCTCATTTGGAAACAGCTTTCTTCCAGATTGGACCCAGTTTCTCCTGCTAGCTAACAGCACTGGCAGACATTGGGTGGAAGGCAAAGACAGAAAGAGCCAGGGATATGGAAACCCCCTCCAAAATCACACCGGAACATGGATGTGTGCCCACCCCCACTGCTGGCACACGCTGACCCCCCGTGATGCTGTTCTCACTGCTGCCCCTCAGCCTCTGGCTCACAGTCAGCAGTGCAGCCACCAGGGACCCCGCTGCAGCCCCCCTGCTCAGCTCTCCCTGCACTCTCACAACTTCTCGCTTGGAGAAGCAGAGCCCAGATGGAGGCCAAGCTCCCTCCTTCTCTCTGCTCTGAGCTCAGGTCTGCCCAATCCCAACAAAGGCTCTTCCCTTTACACATTCCTCCCAGTGGAACCATGCAAAAAAACCCTCCTAGAACTGCTTCCCCAGAGGCTTTTTCCAGCCAAAGCCCTTCTGCCCTTGAACATTTATTCCACAATAAAACTTTGTCTGCTCTTCCAACTTTCCACAACCTATTCAAGCAGTCTGTATCAGCAGGAGAAAGGCAGGGCTGGTAGCAAAACAAATGAAGGTTTCCTGACACATCCTATTAGGAGGCTGCTCTCAGTTGCCTGCCACTCAGCCAGAGTCTGGGCTGCTTTCCCATGCTGGGTTTGCAAATCTCAGCCAAAATAATTCATCCACTTCTGAGAATTACAGCAACTTACCTTTGCTCCTTCCTCAAAGACTGCACCTACCTTGCCTTTACTGAACCTCACTGCTGCACAGTTTGGAAGAGGGAATTGAAGCAGGGCCTTGCTCGGCTCCCATGCAATCTGTCTGCTTAGCAGCCAACACACAAACACTGGAGAAAAAAGCTGCTCACAAACTCAGGGGGATCTGAGGGTCTGCAATGGGACATTTTACCACATTCAAATTCACAGCAACGACGGCTGCACTCGTCAGTCCACAACAGCAAGTTATTACTGATAAACTCATGAATACGAACTGCATTGGCTGCTTGGTGCTAGAATTGTGTCCCAGCAGCTGCTCTGCGACTCCTGCAACCCGAGGGGCAGTTTGCAGCACAGAAATGTCAGCGACTTCAATGTAAAATAAACTGGGGGACGAGTGACCAAGGCAGCAGCGCTGGAGGACTGCACAAAATAGCACAGCCCTATTAGTTTTACTTTGTAAACATTTAAATCTCCTTCGGTCTCAAGGCGAGATGGCTGAAATCTCAGAACAATTTTAAGGATGATACACTGCACGAAAGATTCAGATTTCAGTGGAAGAGCAAACAAAAGTGGGTATGAGTGCTGTAACCCAACCCAGCACACAGCATGCGAGGAATACCCTGAGTTCCACACTTGCAAAGCAAGCACTGTGAAAGCAAAGGCTGGCACTGAAAGACACGGATGTGCCAAGAGCCATCCCAGCTCCATGCGAGGCTCTGACCCCTAGAAGTCCAACCACGACCTCCCCCCATTTGGACCAAGCACAGGAAGAAGATAACAAGAATATTTTCTTTTTGATCCAATAAATGCTTCCATCACGGCACTGATTTGCAAAGCACACGAGAAGCTGCTCTGAGTCGAATGTTTCTGTCAAAGATTAAATGTGCACAAGCAGGCTGACCTCCATGCAACCTTCAGCTTACTGCTTTCCTAGGTTTGCACATCACACTTTGAGAGCCTGGAAACGCACTCGGCTTTAACAATGTTTAAGTCATGTTGTCAGGCTCAAATGTGTTTTCGACAAAGACAGACAGCAACAAAAGAAACCAAGTCAATTTGGAAGGACTCAACAATTATTATGAAGAGAGGGCCTGGGAGGATCATGAGACTATTGCAATTACAGGGGAACAAAGAACAATCTCTGGTGTGCTGCTTGGCAAGACAATCTCCTGCACAGAAACAAATCCACGAGGAGACGAGCACAGATTTCAGAATCCAAACCAACGTGGCTGGGATGATGCTGAGGCACAAGGTCACAGGCTGTGTCTCTTTGAGACACCTGGCAGCCCTGCTCTATGGACACTGCTCTGACAGCTCTCTCCATAGCACACACTTTCTCCACACGGAGCAGATTTTGGCACTCGGGTCGGTCTGCAGATATTCTGCACCTTTCAGTAAGCAAACTGCTCCCAGCTCCCTGCCAGTTGGCTCCTGAGCTTCTCATATGAACAACAGGAGAATTACTGCCACCAGCACTCAGGAGCAAAGCACTGTTTGGAGATGTTTTCACTCACCCGACTTTCCTTCACTTCCTCATTTCCATCAACGTCGTCATCATCCTAGGATGAAAAGCAGATGCTATCATGAGGCATCTTGGAAACAGTTGTGTTGCTTTCTTTCTCTTTTTCATTTTTTAATATCACAGCAAGATGTTATTTATGATTTGATGTTACAGCTACGAACACTTCTACCAAAATAAGGGAGTAAGCCAGGCCTTTAAGAGCCTGTTTCTTAGATTCTACATGGACCAAAGGGTGATGTGATCGCTCTGGAAGTGCCAGTCTGAAATAGGAGCTAGAGAGAGACGGACCAAAGGGGAATCACCTGATCTGGAAAAAAAATCTTAAGCTTGGAACTGGAAGGAAATTCACTCAAAATATTACAAAGCAAGTTTCACTTCTCTAAGGAACCCAAACTCACATCTTTTGTTGAGAAAATGATGCCAGTGCCTCTTCGCCGCTCTTTTGGCCGCCGCCTCTCTCGGATCGACTGCTTGTTTGGAGATCTGTCGTCCAGATCCGCGTCTTCGCGCTCTAGCCAAGCAAAGAAAGACTGCTTTGGTTCCAGTGATTTACATCTGCACTTCTGCTAAGGCACTACGCTTCTTTTCAAGCCAATCAAGGTCGTTCTGGCTTGTGTTCCATTACGGAGGAGTGAGTAAACCAGATAGAATGGACTCAGAGCGCCCTGCTACACCTGGCCTTATCCAAAACCAAAGGATTTCACTGCCTGTCAGCTCTCAGCAGATCACCACAGCGTACTTCTATTCTCAGGACAAATTGCAGTAGCAGAATCAGTACCCCAGCTCTAAGATCTGAACACAACATAGACTCATGTCAGTTAGTTGTTCTAAATGGAAAACTCTTCTATCCTCCTCTTCTACAAGCAGTGGCCTTTACCCCACATTATTAACACGTAACATCTGTTTTTTGAGATGGCAGCTTCCCACACTGCGCCCCTCAGAACACATAAACTCTGTGACTTTATGCACTGCAAGTTCTAAAACTCATCAAAATCCCGGAGCTTCCAGTCCTCCTGCTGAGCACATACCGTTCTTCTCCATCTCTGTGGCCACAGCTGTGAAGTCTGCTGGATTCACAGAGTCAAGACCCAGATATTTATTTGTTCGAGTTAGGTAAGAGCTTGTATAAAGGAGAGGAGCTGACGTAGAAGGAGATACAGGTGTTGTGGGTTTGTCTGCTTGCACTGGGCACCTTAATCGCCGATAGACAGCCTGTAAGCAAACAGACATGACAACAAGTTGGCAAAACGAGAAGGAAGCAGAAGATTGGGACTTCAGGCAGCTGAGTGACCTTTCAGAGGGTTGTATTTCCTTCAGCACTGCTGAAAGCCATCAGCACCATCCACCAGGTCAGATACAGACTGGAACAAGCATTAACAGCCCTGTGGAGCTATGCACATAAACACTGTATAGTTCCTTTGCTAGGAAGCCTAGGATTACTGCCTTTGTCCCTACTGCCAGTAACACAACAAATGAGTTATCTCAGAAATGATTTTGAGTGAAAAAATACAGGAGTGATGGAAGGCGGAGAGCACTGTGCTACCCAGCTTTCCACTGCACCCAGAATATCTGTGCTATGATGGAAGGAAAAAGCCTCAGCCCAATCTGCACAGTAAGCACGGATCCAGGCAACAACGCTCTCATTAGACTTCTCATTCCACTTCTATGATTTCCAGTTCTGCTTTCTGGTAAGAAATAGAGGAATGCAATCCTTGGCGGAGAGCAAAGGAACACCTTAACCCTCATACGTGCAACCCCTCTGAGGCAAGGACAATCCTCAGCATCTTTCCAGCACATCTGCCCCCTTAAAATAAACAGGAAACCCCCTAAGAATTTCTCTCAGCTAGCCTAAGCGCTCCATCAACACAAGCAACGAGGGGCCAGGCAGGAGTTCACCTCCTCATCTGCATTTCTGCTCCACCGTGTGCGGCTCTCCTGCCTCTCACTGTCCTCAGCAGCGCTCTCAGCCTTCTCGCTCTGCTGCTCCTGAGCCTGCCGTTCTGCCCGGGAGCGGCTGAAGGTTCTCTCTGCCTCCTGAAGGTCCGTCAGCGTTACACCCTGCAAACAAAGAAAAGCGAGGATTTCTTCATTTGGGCAATTACCTTTCAGCTCTTCCAGCTCGCGCAGCAAATTTAAGGTTGCTCAGCGGGCTTCTGCTCGGCCAACCTGACGCCCGTGGGCCTCAATGTGATGCCGACCCAGAGAGAAGCGCCTCGCTGCCCTTCCCGCATTTCTCAGTGTAAGCACAGCATCAGAGCGACCCAAACATTCACCATCAAGCCACCAACGAACAGGCAGCTATTCTGCTGTTCCGACAGAATGAGGACTTTGTGATCTCACTTCCAGGTGCTCGCAGGAGTATTTTATAGTAATTCCTCCTGTGTGTTTTTATCAGCGTCTCCCCGGCGCTGTCAGGGCAGCCGAGGCCCTCACACCAGGCCCTCACTCAGCAGCACAAGTCCTGCTTCCTCACGCAGCAGCCCTTCGCACCCATTTCCATCCCTCACCTGGGTGGATCTGCGTGTCTGCCGGGCCTGCCTGGATCGCGCCTTCCTCAGCGACTCGGCCTCCTCATCCCGCACCGGGGTCAGGTATGACCTGCAGGGAAAGCAACGACAAAAAGAGGCAGAAGAGGTTAACATGGAAATAAAAGCGGACGTTCTGCCCTCCCGACTCAGCGAGCTCCAGAGCTGTTGGTCTCTTCTGTATCTACAAACATCCTTTGAGCTCTGTCTGCTAGCACTGCTGCTGTTGTCTGCTCTGGGCCATCCTTCCTATGAGCAGGGGAAATGCACACATCACCTCCTCCTATCTGGGGTGTTATTTACCTCTATCCATGTCTTACTACGCTCATTAGCAAAAAAACCAAACATCTCTTGCTCAGATATAGATCTCAAGAAAGAAATCCTGCACTGGCACATTCCTCCCTGCATTATATTCACCATCACATCCCTGCAATCTGCTGCCTTCATCAGTATGAAACCCATCACAGCAGAAAGCAGCAGAACTGCAGGCATCACACAAAGGAGGAACGTGGTGGAAAGGGTTAAGGAAGGAAAGAAGTGACCTCCAAGCACTGAGTAAAGCGAGCCCCTTGGTACCGAAAAGCACACAGCTGCCTCAGAGGCTGTGCCACCACTGGATTTCATTAAACCCCAGAGATCTCAGCATTATTCACATGAAAATATCTTCACTGAACTCTGCACAGACGCTCACAGAGGAGGAACTTAAGAGGAATTCAGCAGTGCTGCAGCAGAGCACAGCGGTGAGGCTCATTTCCATACCGGTGGATTGGCTTCCATCTTAGCTAAGATTAATTAGATTGGATTCTTCAGCCCGGCTAATGGGGAATGATGATTAACGCCGTCTCAGAGTAGAAGAACCAGAGTGTCTGAAATGAAATGTTCTTTTGTGGGTCTATCACTGCCACAGGTTAGCAGAGCATCAAAGATGTAGACAGGTAATTAGCCAAGAAAGGGATAAAGATCTATCGAGGAAAAATTCATTTGCCCTGGGATTCTTCGCCTGGTTTGCCCTCTGCAGACCATCTTCCCATGTAACGTAATGGGCTGAACAGATTTTTCATCTGATCCAGCCATTTATTAGAAAGATTACTGACTTTGCTGCACTACCAATGAATCCTCGAGGCTGAATCATCCCCAAATCATCTGCCCCACAGCTTTGAGCTCCCTCTTCATGACCTCACGCCCAGCACTGATTCAGCAGGCGCGAGGCTGGCAGCGCTGAGCAGAGGCTCCCATCAAAGGCTGTCAGAGAGCTGAGGGTGCCCCAGCTCCAGAGGCATTCAGGGTGGGTTGGACGGGGCCCTGGGCAGTGTGACCAGCAGCTGACAGCCCGGCATGGCAGGGGTTGGAGCTCCATGGCGTTTCAGGTCCCCCCCAGCTCAGATCAGTTAATGCTCTGGCTGCACAGAGGTGCTTCCATGGGAATCGTGCTCTGCACCTAAGGATCAATGGGGAAGCTGGAAGAAACCAACCCAACAACCATGGTGTGTGTTCCACCTGATAAGCCAGAACTGCTCTGAGCGTACAAGGAGGCTGAAGGCCCAGCTGTGAATCTGGGAGATGGCTGCAGTGGAGACGTCCTCAGCTGGGCTGCCCACACCGAACTGCACCTCCAGGCTGCAATTCGTCACCTTCAGCAAGAGCTGATCATGTGAATGCATTGCAGAGCAGCTCGTTTCTTCCCATTGATTATCCAGACAGAAACACTAGCTGTGATGGATGTTCCAACAGTGGAAGTGCCTAAAATTCAGAGCGATGATTGCCTCCTAAGAATTTGCTGCTTCGTGAACAAAAACCTGCTGCTTGATGTGCAAAAGCTTTGCTGCTCCTAGTTTTGTAGACAAGTAGCTCTCTTTGCTCCTCTTTACGCTGTGCAAATGGGCTGCCCAGGTAATGGCACATTAAGGAAACAATAAGCACTTTCTGCAGATTTTGACACAAGTAGGATAGCTGCTCTCTGCAGAGCATCCAGAAGCAATAAGCCACCTACAGGAAGAGTGCATTTGTCAAATATACTGCTAGCTAAACTCTCTGCCCATAGAAGGAGGACCCAACACCCACAACGTGGTGCTGGGAGAGCACTGGATTGCAGGGATGCTCTGCTTCGTGTGAGCAAGGCGAGATTGCTGCACTCAGCACAGCTCAGACAGCACGTGCGAGCACAGCAAGAGGAACGACATCTTGCCTCCTGCTCCTTCCCACTCCTCCCCTCTGCTCCTCCAGAATTGATAAAAAATAGGAGTATTTTAAAGCACCGTTAACAATTTTGCATCCAACCTGCAGCAGTGACTTAGCATTCAGGTGAGCACATTTTGCAGCACAGCCGGGCTGAACTCAATCGCCTGCTGACTTCAGGTTTCCATTTACACAACTCCCTGCTGCTCGGAGCTCACCAAGGCCATTTTATGAGCACGAGGTGAACGAATTTTCTGATGCAAATCAGCAGAGCCACTGCACAGCGACGCTCTGCTTCCTCTGAGGAAGCAGCCACAGCCCGTTTCTGTAGTGCTGAAAGAAGGCGGCTGTGCTGCACCTCTTCAGATGCAGACAGCAGACAGCACACCTGCAGGAGTGACTGAAAGGAGGCAGCAAGCTGGGATGCAGCCACACAGCAGGGCTGGGCTGTGTGCTGTGTGAAAAGCAATGCACTGCTCTCCAAAGCAGAACTGCAGATCACAGCAAGCTGAAGGAGACAGACAGCAAAAGTAGCGTGTAAACAATCACAGAGATTTTGATTTTTAAGTATATGATGCTTAATGAAGTGCACTATCTCTGCCATCCTAATGCCAGCAAAAATCATACATGCAGATCTTTAAGGAAACGACCCAACACGTTGTGTTTCCTTGCAAAAAGCCACCGATTTTCACTGTTAATTCTTTTAATTGGGGCACTATGACACAAACACAGATCCCAACTGCTCACCAGCAGCCCAAGTAGCAGCAATGAAACACGAATAGAAAGGGAGAGGCCAAGTAGGGCAAATGACAGCCTGGATATCCAAGCTGGCAAACCAAGGATGCAACCAAACCCGCAATAGAGAATCTGCGCTGCAGAGAAAGGAGATGCCATGGAGGGACAACTGCCACGTAAAGGGCAAATGGTGCAGAATAAGAAGCACCAATCTCTGCTAACGGACACACAGATAATGCGATGGTGACTCCCTGATTGCTCAGTTCAAATCCTCCTTGTAGTTCAGGAGCCCAACCTGCACCCCCAGACACAACACCAGAGGCCGTATCAGAAGCCAGGACGAGGCTTGTGACTCCTCCAGCTCTGGGTGAGATGGGTAAGGGGAGCCAGGCGCAGGCGATGTTGGCACACAGATGGCAATCCATCCCATCCAACCTACCAACACGTTTGGAAAAGCTTTTTGCAAAAGCATGAGACCACTGTTCAAAACCCTGCAGGCATTTCAAACATCCTTACCACACAGATCTATCTATAGCTGTATGGTGATCAAAGGATGGAAGAAAAGCCCAGAGAAAGTCTGAAGCACTGATACAGCTCCTCTGGAAGGCACTGGAAAAGTACAGCATCCCAGCAATGCAATCCTACAGCCTGGAAACTTGCCATTAGCTAAGGAACTATCCATAAACTGGGGGGGGAAGAGCAGCAAGAGCAGGTTTCATAGGAAACAACGCTGACAGCAGTTCCAAAACACAGCTCCCTAAGTTAGACGTTAAAGCAGCGAATCAATCATTGATAGTTACACGAGGACAGCTGGGCAGCACGCTCTCCTGCACTCACATCCAACAACGGGTTTCTCTTCTTTGCTGTTTATCCCCATGCCAACACGTTGTGCGCATCAGCACGCAGCCAACGGAAACTTCTGCCACAGAAGTCGCCATAAAACTGAACATAATGCAGCAAGAGCATTCAACAGGCAGGAGAGGACGACGCATCCGACTGCAAATGATGGAACAGGGATGGGGGGGGACAGCCAGGCAACGCTGAGATGTTTCATAAGCAGAGGACAAAAGGATAACAAGATTTCAGAGCCACGCTCTTAAAAGCACTCTGCAGCTGTCCTGAAAAGGCTCCTCTGAGGATTTCCCATTTCCAGGCCTTTGCTCTCCCCTCCCATGCTGGTCCCGGCTGGTGAGAGCTGTCACTGTGTTCCAATCTGGACTGTGAATTTTCAGCTCACGGAATCTCAAAAGCCTGAATTTCCATCACCTCTTTACAGTCTGATTTGCAGGTTAACAAGCACACGATGAAATTCCCTATCTGTGACAGCTTCGCTTTGCCCAACGCATGCAGGTTCTGATCTGAGATTATGAGACTGGTGATCTTTGTCACCTGCTGATCGCAACAAACTCCCTTTATCCCTCCTCAGAACTCGGCTTTGATGCCATGTTTACAATGGTTCGAGGTTACAGCATGGCAGCTGCTGTTTGAGGAGCACTTCCACTCTGCTGTGCTCATCTCGTGTGCTGCTCACAAAGCAGGGAGCTCCTGCAGGGCAAACAGCTTGATGCCAGCCCTCTGCAGGCTGCTCACAGCGGTGCAGAGCAATGAGAGCTGCTCTCACTGAGCCCTGCTGCTCCTCTGAGCCCCACGGGCCCTGGGTTTCCTCTGCAAGGAAAGGAAAATCAGTGCTGTCACCTCTTGAGCCACGTCTGGAGCAGGGGGACACAGGGACACAGCACACAGGCTGGAAGCTTTCAGATGATCAATGCTTTCCCTCTGCATCAACGGAGGACCCTCAGCATCACGGTGATCATGGGCCTGAAACTGACACCCTTGTCTGGAGGCAGCTTGCTGGTGCTCTGAATCTAGATCCTTCCAGATACCTAATGGACACATTTCCCCTTTGTCTGAAACAACAACAAATAATTCAGCATTTTTTTTTTCTGCAAGAAAAAAAGCAAAGAGTGCTGCCAACACGCAGCAAGCCAGCAAGACGTCCTCCCTGCTGAACCTCCCTTCAGTCATCGAGTGCAATTAGCTGCAGTCTCACAAGAGCAAAGCCCTCCAGGTTGGAATACCTGGAAACTGGTTTTGTTCAGCACACCGGGTGCCAATGCCCATTGCTGAGCAGTGCATCACTGCATCGCAGAACAACAGGCACCC